TCCTCGGAAGGAAGGTTGGGCAATCTACTTCTGTAGTGATACTCCTCAGAAACCCAAGGAGGGGTCGCTGTGAGTCAGATCCAACTCCATGGCAATGAGCTTGGTTTTTTGGTTACTAAGTAGAAATTTATTTTCTCACTCTTTAGGAGTCTGGAGGTCCGAATTCAGAGTGCTAGTTCTAAGGAAAGAGTTTCTTTTTCTGTTGGCTCTAGGGGAAGTTCTTTGTCTCTTTTGAGCTTCTATTTTTCGGTTCCTTGGTGATTTCATGTGGTATGACATCTGTCTACTCCCAACTGCACTTGCTTCCTTGCTCCATCTGTTCTTTCACACCTCCAAAGAGATTTAATTATGACACACCTTACACTAATACTGTCTCAGAACAAAGAATACCCATTCTCAAATGGGATTATAACCACAATCAAAACCAAAACCCAAACTCACTGCCTTCAAGTCAATCCCAATTTACAGCGACCTCTCCTTGGGTTTCCAAGGCAGTATCTCTATGGAAATAGATTGCCCAGTCTTCTTTCCAAGGACTGGCTGGTGAGTTTGAACCACCAGCCTTCTAGTTAGCAGCCAAATGCCTTAGGCACTATGCCACCAGAGGTCCCACAATAGAGGTTAGTATTTACAACACATCCTTTTAGGGGACACAGTCCAATCCACAACACCAGCCGATACACAAATCCTAAAACATACATGTACACACAGAAAGAGAACTGAAAATATATGTTGCAGTGTGTACAGTTTTTGCGAAGAATCCATGAAATGTTGAACTGGTTAGGGTACATGGTAAGCTGCAATGTTGTTGTCAGGTGCCATCAAGTTGGCTCCACCTCATAGCGACCTTATGTACAATAGAACAAAACACTGCCTGGTCCTGCGCCAGCCTCACAACCTGAGCCCGTCATTGCAGCTAGTCAATCCATCTCATTGAGGGCCTTCCCCTTTTTTGCTGACCCTCCACTTTGCCAAGCATGATACCCTTCTCCAAGGAATGGTCCCATCTGGCAACATGACCAAAGTAGATGAGATCAAATCTGGCCACTTCCAAGGAGCATTCCAGGCTGTACTTCTTTCAGCACAGATTTGTTCATTCTTCTGGCAGCATCAACTGAAAAGCATCAACTCTTCTTCAGCCTTCCTTATTCATTGTCCAGCTTTCACATGCATATACACATGCAGTAGCAAAACCTATAAAACCAAACCCACTGCCACTGAGTCAATTCTGACTCACAGCAACCCTATAGGACAGAGTACAACTGTCCCATAGGGTTTCCAAGATTGTAAATCTTTGCAGATGCAGACTACCTCATCTTTCTCCTTGAAGTACAGCAAAAAGCCCCAAAGTGCAGAGACTAATGGGATTTTTATTTCTCTCTCACCAGTAGTTCAGCATGGGCATTTCAAAGCTAAGAGAGTTATTGCCATCCTCAGCATGTTCCTTCCATCCATGCGTCCAAGGTGATAATTCCAACTCTTATTCCCCATCCAATGGGGAAGGGAACAAAGACAAGGGACTTCCATTTCAGGGCACAATCTATAAATTTAACTTATCATTTCTTCTCACCTCTTCATGGCCAGAATTTAGATACCCAGCTACAGCTAGTTGTAAAAGAGACTAGAGACACTCATTGCCAAAAAAAAAAAAAAAAATGCATTGACCCATGTCAGTTTAGTTTTGTGTATTTCACTGTATATAAATTATATTTCAATAAAATGTATTTAGAAAAAAAAAAAAGTTGCTACTTGGACAGCTATATGAGCAGTTAGAATTCAGGAGTTCTATTATAGCTCTAGGAGCTCTGGTAGCATAGTGGCTAAGACACTTGCCTGCTAACCAGACGGCTGGCGGTTCAAAACCACCAGCCACTCCTCGGAAGGAAGGTTGGGCAATCCTACTTCCGTAGTGATACTGCCTCGGAAACCCAAGGAGGGGTCGCTATGAGTCGGGGCCAATTCTACGGCACATAACAACAACAACAACAACAACATTATAGCTCTGGTTGTGTAGTGGGTAAGGCATTTGGCTGCTAACCAGAAGGTCTGCAGTTCAAACCCACCAGCTGCTCCACAGGAGGAAGATGAGGCAGTCAACTTCCGTAAAGACTTACAGTCTTGAAAACCCAGTGGGGGTTGTTATGAGTCAGAATCGACTCCATGGCAGTGAGTTTTATGGAAAAGGGAATTCACGTGTTTGTAAGCAGCTAGTAGTTTCTGCCACTGAGTCTGATGCACTCGATATTTTCTTATCTGTTTCAATGTCTTAGAGGCTTTGTTGTGTTCTGTGGGATAAGGAGATAACCAGATTGATTGATACATTTTTCCCATGTGTATTGATAATACTGCACTTAACCTCTAGAAGAAAGTGAAATTTTTCATTATACTTGAATTCTAAATAAACATTTCACCAACTCCTGAGCCAAAGAGTTACCAAATACCTAATAAGATTAAGTTCGAGTTTCTGACAGTACCTGCCACTTTCATGTTTCATGATTAAAATTAGTTTAGCCTCTAAAGCACATATACTCTTAAATTTTTAGCTCAAATTTAGAAGTGCACCATCTTCCAATAAGTACCACTTCAGTTTTCTTTCCTCTTATAGTTCTAATTCCAAATTTCTAAAGGTAAAAAAAAAATGAGGCAAGCAGTAACATTTTTATTTAGGAGAAATTTAGCATGCAGAACTTCATGTTATATTGTAATTGATATTGTGAGTCCGTATCTGCCTAGTGTTAGGAAATTCATTTGCCTAATGTTTACATAACCCTACCTTTTGCAAATAGGTACATATGAATCATCAGTCTGTCATGCAAGTGCAGGGAGTTTTCAGAGCATCAAAACCAACTGCAGTATACTTTGAGAGAAGACTAAATAGAATTTTCTTAGTTGAATATAAGAACAGGGTTTTTTTGGTTTGTTTTTTTTATAAATGATTAATTCACTTTTTTTTAAATATGTGCTTGTCTTACCATATACCCTACTTTACCCTTAAACTTTTATAGGCTGCAATAGGATCTGTGGCTTTGGACACAGCAAGATCACGTGGAGAAAAACAGCTAGAAGAATATGGAATGGATGTGTTGACAGTGGCATTTTTGGCCATCCTCATCACAGCCCCAATTGGAAGTCTACTTATTGGTTTGCTGGGCCCCAGACTTCTCCAAAAAGCTGAACATCAAAACAAAGATGAAGAAGTTGAAGAAGAAACTTCTGTACAAGAAGAGGTGAAAAGAGAGATTGCTAAACATAACAATTAGAAAACCGCTACTGGAGGATACTTTTATTGAAGTGGAAGTTGAAATACGTAGTGTTTAAGCTTAAAATGCATAAGTGTGGCTATTTCTTTATGATGGTGATAGTATTCTGTATCTCCAACCTACATTTCTCTTTCTTTTTATTTTTCAAACACTCCTTCATCATATATCTTTATTTGTATAGGGACATACCTACTTTAATGTGCTACCACATTTAAAATTAACATGGGAAACAATGAGTTCAGTATCAGCCAACAGTTTACCCTAACTTACAGTTACAGTTTCATGATTCACTTGATGGCACGTAACAACAACAACAATATCCAAAAAAAAAAAAAAACCAAACCAAACCAAACTCACTGCCATAGAGTCGGATCTGACTCATAGTGACCCCTCCTTGGGTTTCCAAGGTGGTATCACTATGGAAGTAGATTGTCCAATCTTCCTTCTGAGGAGTGGCTGGTGAGTTTGAACCGCCCAGCTCTCACAGTCAAATGCCTTAGGCACTATGCCACCAGAGCTCCCGAGGAAATGATGTAGAAGTAGGCAAATCTCTCATCTTCCATACCATAGGTGATGGCCACACCTAGCTGTGAGAAGACTGCAAAGTATTTTCTCATGCTAAACCTCCTCAGTGGGAGCTCTGGTAGCATAGTGGCTAAGACGCTTGCCTGCTAACCAGACGGCTGGCGGTTCAAACCCACCAGCCACTCCTCGGAAGGAAGGTTGGGCAATCCTACTTCCGTAGTGATACTGCCTCGGAAACCCAAGGAGGGGTCGCTATGAGTCGGGGCCTACTCGACAGCACATAACAACAACAACAACAACAAACCTCCTCATTCCTAAGAGGAACAAAAAATCATATTTGAGAGGCAGAACTACCACCGTGTTAGATGTTACCATCACTTAGTAATACATTCTTGCATCTAACAAGGGCCTTCTGAAGACAGTACCTTAAACTAAATCAGTGACTTCTATGGCAAGAATGTCAGATCTTGTGACATGCCAGCAGAGAAGTGTTAAAAGAAAGACTTAATCTACATAGTCACATCCTGTTGCACTTATGCAAAAGGCCCTTTCTGATTTTGTGTGTCACGTATAGTTTGTCTCCACTCTAGATCATCCCCTGCCTAGTTTTAAGAACAATCATATTCAAATACAACTTCTATCATGTAATATGTATACCTGAAGTATTTATTTATATCCTGGAATTCTAAATTAAATATAATCTTGATGTAGATAATAAATGAGGGAATAATGATGATTCTAATCCCATCAAGCTGATTTTCGTAAAGCCTGTCTGCTCTTAGACTTCTGGGCTTCCATTTCTACCATGGCCTTCACCTCTATTCAAAAGTTTAAAAAACTTTATATTTACCTCTTCTGTATGGATTTTCTTTCTATGATGTCAGTTGGACTCTGGGTACTTTATGGTATTGTGTTTCCTTAGTATTTATGTCCTCAATTGAAACTGGATTAATTTCTACTAAAGGTCATATGGACATGTCCACTGAACTTCCCTGGTTAGTTGCACCTTGGTGAGGAAACCATAAAATTAATGTTGATCTGATCCTCTATTTTTGCAGGCTCTAAAACTGTATTCATTCAACAAATCCTTACTGAAAGCCTTTAGTGATCCAGGCACATTGTCAAGACTAATATTTATTCTTGTCCTTAAGGATCAGAAAATCTGTTTAGAGGACAGACAAACAAAAGATTGCAAAACAGTATGATAAGTACTATTATGTAGGAACTATAAGGACCTTAGCAAACTCATAGTAGGAGCATCCAAGGATGGTCCAGGTAGACACAGCTCCCAGAGAAAGCAGGGCCCTTGGCTAGGACCTGAAGAATGATTAGGATTTAGCCAGAAAAAGGGGTGTGAGGCAGAAGAGTGATGCAATTATTGTTATTCCCCATGTGACCAGGAGAGTTTTCTCTAAATAACAGGCTTTAAATACTACTTAACTTATACAAAATATAGATAATATAACTAAATGAGAATTATATGAAAAATACTGAGGCCTCCGAAGATGAATTAGAAATGTAAATCCATAGTCAGGAAAGGGTTAGGTGCATTTTAAAGGTCCCATTAAGCCACTGCCATATAGCCTGTTTTTCAGGGATGCAGCAAGTTCTTTCCTACCTCTCCTCTGTGGTGTAGCCACCATCTAAATCTCTAGGGCTTTGTCCAATACTGGCCTTTTGACTGCCTTCATTAGATTTCTGAAACATGTACCTTTTACTAGAAACTTCTTATGTAGTTTTTGTTGTTAGGTGCCATTGAGTCAGTTTGCCTCACAGCAACCCTATGTACAATAAAACAAAATACTGCCCAATCCTGCGTCATCCTCACAGTTGTTGTCATGATTGAGCCCATCATCACAGCCATTGTGTCAATCCTTCTTCTTGAGGGTGTTCCCCTTTTTTGCTGACCATATACTTTACCAAGCATGATACTCTTCTCCAGGGTTTGGTTCTTTGGTGGTTAAGTTTGTGTGTCAACTTGGCTGGGCCTGGTTGAGTGGCAGGGTAGTTATTCCCCATGATGAGATTGGCAATCAACTCCATGGTGGGACCTACAACAAGCAGCTGAGTAGCTGCCTTAGGGATATGGTCTGCTTCCCATATATAAGAAGCAGCTTAGGGAATGGTCTCTAGCTTATGGCACACTTGAACCCTGCATGTAGCCGTGTCGTTGTTCCACAGCCTGCCATGCTCTGCCAACCTTGGGACTTTCAGTGGACTTGAATTAATGGCCTGCTGTGTGGTTTGGTAACATTGGGGCTGTGCCTTGTTACTTGTCAACCTTGGACTTGTCAGTCTCAGCAACTAGTAGCTGTCTGAGTGAGGAAAAACCTCTAGCTTCAGTGTGATGGGAGCAGGAGGCGGAGCTGAAGCCCAAGGTTGAGGGGCTTTCATCCAGCCCCGAGAGCCTGGCACTTTGAACTCAGACTTAAAGCCTCCAAACTGTAAGAGAATAAACTCCTGTTTGTTCAAGCATCCCATTTTTATATTCTTGTCAGAGCAGCACTGTTGTTGTTGTTGTTGTATATGCCGTCGGCACTAGGTAACCAAAACAGGTTCCTTCTCACAACATAATCAAAGTAGGTAAGACAAAGTCTGGCCATTCTCACTTCTAAGGAGAATTCTGCCTATACTTCTTCCAGGACATATTTGCTCCTTCTTTTGGGAGTCCATGATATTTTCAATATTCTTTGCCAACATCACAATTCAAATCTGTCAACTCTTCTTTGGTCTTCCTTATTTGTTGTCCATCTTTCACATGAATATGAGGCTAGTGAAAATACCATGGATTGGGTCATGCACACCTTAGTCTTCAAAGTGGCATCTTTGCTCTTTAACACTTTGAAAAGGTCTTTTGCCCCAGATTTGCCCAGTGCAATATGTCATTTGATTTTTGGACTTCTGCTTCCATGGGTGTTGATTGTGGATCCATGTAAAATTAAATCCTTGACAACTTTTATCTTTTCTCCATTTATCATGATGTTGATTATCAGCCCAATTGTGAGGATTTTTGTTTTCTTTATGTAGAAGTACAGTCCAAACTGAAGGCTGTAGTCTCTGATCTTCATCAGTAAGTATTTCAAGTTTTCCTCACTTTCAGCAAGGTTGTGTTATCTGCATATCACTGGTTGTTAATGAGTCTTCCTCCAATCCTAATGGTAGCTCTGGTAGCATAGTGCCTAAAGCACTTGACTGCTAACCAGAAGGCTGGCAGTTCAAACCCACCAGCTACTCCTCGGAAGGAAGATGGGGCAATCTACTTCCGTAGTGATACTGCCTTGGAAACCCAAGGAGGGGTCACTAGAGTCGGATCTGACTCGATGGCACATAACAACAGCAACAACAACCAATCCTAATGCCATGTTCTTCTTTGTATAGTCCAGTTTCTCAGATTATTTGCTCAGCATACAGATTGAATAAGTATGTTGAAAGGATACAACCCTGATGCACTCCCTTCCTGATTTTAAGCCATGCTATATCCCCTTGTTCTGTTCAAATGACAGCTTTTTGGTCTGTGTACAGGTTCCTCATGAGCACAACTAAGTGTTCTACAATTTCTATTCTTCTCAATATTATACATAATTCGTTATGCTCCATACCGTCCAATGATTTTGTATAGTCAATAGAACACAGGTAAACATCTTTCTGGTATTCCTTGCTTTCAGTCAAGACCCATATATCACCAGTGATATTCCTCATTCCATGTCCTCATCTGAATCCAGCTTGGTTTTCTGGCAGTCCCTTGTCAATATACTGCTACTACTGTTTTTGAAGTATCTTCAGCAAAATTTTACTTGTGTGTGATATTGATGATAACCAAAAAAAAAAAAAGAAACAAAACAAACTCACTGCCGTCGAGTCGGATCCAACTCATAGTAACCCCTACTTGGGTTTCCAAGGCAGTATCACTACGGAAGTAGATTGCCCAAACTTCCTTCCAAGTAGTGGCTGATGGGTTTGAACCATCAGCCTTCTGGTTGGCAGTCATATGTCTTATGCACTACATGACCAGAGCTCCTGATATTAATGATACTGTTCAATAATTTACATATTCTGTTGGATCACCTTTCTTTGGAATGGGTACAGATATGGATCTTTCCAGCAAGTTGGCCAGGTAGATGCCTTCCAGATTTCTTGGCATAAAGGAGTGAGCACCTCTAGCTCTGCATCTGTTTGTTGAAATATCTCAATGGGAATTCCATCAATTCCTGAAGCCTTGTTTTTTTCCGATTACTTCTGTGCAGCTTGAACTTCTTCTTTCAATACCATTGATTCTTGATCATATGCTACCTCCTGAAATGGCAGAACATCAACTAATTCTTTTTTGTACAGTGACTATGTAATCCTTCCATCTTCTTTTGATGGTTCCTGAATCAAAACTTTGCCCTAAGAATGCTTCATTATAGCAACTCAAAGCTTGAAACTTTAATTCAGTTCTTTGAGCTTGAGAAATACTGAGCATGATCTTCCCTTTT